TGGGGGTACTTTTTCTGCGCCTCGGCCTGGCGGAGAATTTTCCTTGAATTGGGACACTGCACCCTAATGATTTGGTTGACACAGACGTGTTTTTCTGCCTGCGACACCGTATTGCAATATTTATGCAGGAACGCCGTGATAAATATCCCAGGACTAAACTGGTTTGGTCGGAAATACTGCCGCGAGCGTGCTACTTCGGGGCCACAAATCCAGCCAAAATTGAAATGAAATGCTGTGCCGTTCAAATTCTCTTTGTTCAGGTACGATGGGGTCCACCTGTCTCCCACGGGAAACATACACTTCCGGTCGAATCTTTGGGACTGCATTCAGGTCGCCTTTATGTAACAGACTTCTCCAAATCCAATACTCCATCGTCATTGTTTTCGTGGCTGTCGTATGTGGTTTATTTGGAAATTTGTAATAGTTTTTGACTGACTTTTAATTATTAATAATTTTAATGGTTTTAATATTTGTAAATCAATCATTGAGTCCTACGACTCACTGAATTGATATAGTATTTAAACCGAAATAAAAAAAATAAATGGTATATAGTGAGCAAATATTGGGATTTGACACTAACAAGCATGACAGTTTAGGTGATCGGTCCAGAGCACAAATGATACTTCATACCCATATGAAACTTTTGGCTAGTCTGTCAAATCCCAATATTTGCTCGCTATATACCATTTATTTATGACTCTGCAGTCAATGAGAGTTTGTTGAAACTTTAAAGGGAAAAACAAGTCAGCAATTTTTGGCAAAAGGGCATGTTAGAAAATTCATTTGTTCTCTTTTTTTTTAATTAAAAGAACATCTTCTTTTCACTACTGTTTTAACAAAGAATTTATGTTTAAACTTACACAAAAATGTAGCTCTTTTCATACTTGTATACATTCATTTGTAGTACTCATAATCATGACAATATACTCATACTTGCAAGAAAAAATTTCATGAACTCATACTTTAACTCGTGATTTACTCATACTCATGGAAGCTTTAAAAGCCTAAAGTGACCATCAGCATTTCCTTGTTTCTGTGATACACTGTGACAAATGAAAGACTTTCTAAAAAGGCAAGACATAGCAGCCAACTGCCACAAATAAATGATGCATGAGATTCACTCCAACAATGTTTGTATAATATTTCTAATCACAACCTCATATTCTCCTGAGGACCTGTCACAGAGCGATATATGTTACAACAGAAGGCTGTGAACAGTCAGCCTCCTTAGTATGACATATGCAAACCAACGGTGATAAGATCTGTTAACACTCAACGTTTTAACCTGTCAGTCTCCAATAAGCATGTAAATTGCAAAATTGCACTTTTTCTGTCATGAATTAGTTGGCTTTGGAAAGTCATGTTCAATTTGCTAGTATTCTGTCTTTTTGTGATACATTATGAAATTGCAGGTCAACTGAAATGCAGGTCATTTTAGCTTCCATAGAAAGTTGCAGCAGGTTACATGTATACAGATAACGCCCATTATTTGATTCTATATCGGTTCATCTTGTGAATCTTCTTAACTACAGACAGTTCAATGCAGTCTTGCAAAGAAATCCTTTAAACAATTGTCCATGCCTACAAATGAGACTATTCTCATCATGAAAAGATTTTGACTACTTCCATCTTAACTTAGTACGGCATTTAAGCCACACCATTGACTGACTGGCAGATTATTGTGCTTAAAAGTTTTTATTGAAGTAATGTGGGTACTTGTGTTAAATGATGGCAATATTGCATTCTGTCTGCATATATACAATTGTACTGTTGCACATTGGTATCTATTATACAATTTGATTTGATAAGTTTATTATCCATATTTGGAGTTTTGTTTTAGAGCATAAATACAATTATTATCACAAACAACTAAATATTACATCTTAACAATTTACCTATTACAATAGATGTTCACAATGCAATGCCTCTATAACCAACAACCACAATCAATAAATACAAAATAAACAATGGAAATGGCATTTAGTAATAAAATCTGTTTCAAATGGTAAGTAATAGAATCTATTGAAATCTACTTATTTGCATCTTTTGTTTCAATATGGCAGATACATTATACATTACATTACAAAGTAATTCCCATTCATAAAGGTGGTAGTACACTGGATTGCAATAATTATCGACCAATTTCTGTTATTTCAGTTGTCATGAAGGTCTTTGAACATGTAGTTTACAACCAGCTTTCTCATTTCTTAATTGACGATAATGGTTTAGCCTTGGAACAGTCTGGTTTTAGACTTTGCCACTCAACTACCACTACTTTAATCAATGTTTCTGATTTTTTGTTAAAAACCTTTGATTCTGGCATGTTAACTGGGGCTGTTTTACTGGATCTGGATTTTACTTAAAAAAATGCAATCCATGGGCCTGGATGGAGGGGAACTTCATTGGTTCACTTCCTACCTTTCTATGAGAAAACAGGTCACAAAAATTGGCAATGTCACTTCTGATACATAACTTGTTCAATGTGGAGTTCCGTAAGGCACTATTTTAGGCCCGAGGCTTTTCCTTATTTATGTTAATGATTTACCTACTGTGATTCAGCATTCCAAGGTTATCCTTTATGCAGATGATACGGCTATTTTTTATTCAAGTAAGGACATTAGGGATGTCAAGTATCGTTTGAATGATGACATGGATAGAATAACGACTTGTTTAGCAAACAACAGGTTGTGCCTCAATATGTAAAAGCATGTTGTTTGGACAGTACCCTGGAACAAGTTTCATGTATTAAATATCTTGGGGTTAATTTTGATTCTAAACTTCAATGGAAGGAGCACGTGGAGTATATTGAATCTTGCATTTCAAATAGAATTAGAATCTTGCTACGTGTTCGGAGCTATTTGCCTGAAAGGACACTTTAATAACATTCTTGCCAATTCACTGATTTTTACTCAACTTGATGATTGTGACCTTGTGTGGAGTAATGCAGCCAATACCTTAGTGCAACGTCTCGATGCTTTGTTCAATCGAACAGGGTGATCTTGAAGGTTCCACCAAGAACACCTCGTGATTTCATTTATAACAAGTTGGGATGGGATAGCTTACATGTCAGACGTGAACGCCATCTGAATATAATGGTTTATAAATGTTCAAGTGGCCTTGTTCTAGATTACCTTAACACTTTGTTTCTTATGTGAGTGATCAACACTCTTATACTAGGCATTGTGTGATGAGTTATTTGTCTCCCTCACCCAAGGACAGAATTTGGGAAGAGAACATTCCAATTTCAAGGTGTGAAGGCATGGAACAAACTGCCTGTGGCGTTAAAGCATCCCATCCCAACAAGTTTAAGTATTTTTCAGAATCAGCTCTCTTGAATGTTTTATCGTAATATTCATAATTGATACTCTGCTTACGTTTTCTTTACTCATATTATTTAAATATTTCCAAATAGGTTACTTGGGGGACATTTTGTGGTAAATTTTTCAACATTAGGGAGACATCGGTCATTAACTACCAAAAGGAGTAAAATTTTTACTATCCCCATTTTTAAAGATGATAGAATAGGGTCTGAAAGGAAAACATGCAAAGTTTGGTTAAGATAGGATTAAGGAATATTGAATAATGGGACGGTAGAGTTTGAAAAAGTTTGTGCACGTTCCTATGGAAATGTCTCCCAAGTGACCAATTTTCGGTAATAATAATTATTCTTGTTGTATTTTTATCTATAGAAATGTAGTTTCATCTGGTTCAATTTTAGCTCTCTTTTTATTTCTTGTCTTATTGTTCACTAGGACTCATGGGAGAAAGGTTTTTGTTTTTTTAATGAACTGAACGAGTTACCCAGTATAAATAAGAAATAAATGAATTACACCCCATCATCAAATTATCTCACTGAGTATTTTATCTAATCACCATGCTGTTCCGATACAAATGACTGTCTGTAATGAGTTTTGTTGCCATGGGGAAGGGACACACAAAGGCATGCTCCCGATCTGTTATAACTGTAATTGTTGAACAAAGGATGAGATGGGTCTTTCATGATACTATTGACCTTGGACAATTTTCAACTGTTGTCGCACAGTCTTTAAAGGGTGGGTAATTCCAAACCTATAATTTTTGAGCCATTTTCCGAGGCAAATCTAACCTGTCCCTGCTTGATTTTGTGAGATAAAACAAATCAAATTAAATGTGAGTATAGACTGGATAACTGACTTATAAAAAAAAGGAACCAAAAGTGAATTGTCCAAGTAAATTTTTTTTTCCAATTCCGAATTAAAAACATACATTTATTTGCCTTCTTTTGTACAGTGACTGCGTTGTTTGACCAATCGATAATCAGTTCTTTTCAGTTGAAGCCAAACATTTACATAAACATGCACCACCAAGTTTCTCTTTAAACTGGACTCAGTTTCAAGAGCCAGCTCCTTTTTGTTTTTATTTCACTGGAATAAGAACTCATTTACGACAAGTGCAACTGCTAAAGTAAAGTACAGGGCATCTTAAATAGTTCCACTATCATAACTTATGAAAATTTCCACCATGCAAATTAGGAATGCAAAACAGGAGTTTTCTGAAGTACCAAAGGAGGTGGATGTGAACTGTATCAGAACTGTTTCTTGCGCATCTGTACATGTGCAAGTGTGTAGACATTTGGCTTGAACTGTAACAATTACAGCACTTTCTTGGTTGTTTTTGACATCTTCCAAAAAATGGCATAAAGGGCTGACATTCTTATGTTTGATATGATAAACAATACACTGTATGCTTGTATATACCCTATCATGTACACCATTCTATTTTCTTAACTTAGAAAGCTGGCTACATTACGTGTGCCACGTCTAGCAGATTTGTTTTGGTCATTTTCACTTAGCATCTAGAATTTATACATGTACATCCGTTTTGTTTTGTTTTTTTGTATTTAATTTAATTTAAAGTTTGTTACATGGGTATATTATGTATGGCATTAGCAACTGACAATTACAGAGGAAATTAAGTTTGAACATTCTTCGGAAGTCTTATTCCATAGTTGAAATAAAATAACACACAGAACAGATACACATATGTGACTCGTGGTTGTATTCTCATAGTAGATTTACCGGTGCAGCAACTTCACCAGATGTCTCCCAGAGTGAAGCACACAAACGCCTAGCATGAGCTGTAACATACTGAATGGGAACCACTGACAGATGGATGCATAGAAGCTCACAACATCGCACAAAACCAGTTGGAATACCCGGAAAACAGCGATGCACCAATTCCCTTTAGAATTAAGATTAAAAATATCAATCAATCATTTAAAGTATCTGAATTACCTATAAGTGACTTTACCAACATGAACAAAAGGAATAACAAATTAAGCAACAAAATGAGTTAGTTATTTTCATAAGAAGCTAGTCAGGGAGTCAGGTTGGGAAGTTTCAGTGACCTAGGGTTCAAAACCCCCTCAATATATTTAAGGTGAGGCATGTCTCTACCTGCTTCCATAGGTTTGGCCTGGATTATTTTTTTGGAGTTTCCTCCCACCACTAAAACTGAACATCTCTATATTGTAATCTTTATTGTAGAAATAAATTTGTACTTGGTTGTCTGAAGCATTAGTTTAAAGGATCCAGGAAATGAATTTTTCTTAGAATCACTTTTTGTGAATCTCTGTAGTCTTCTTCCATGTACATGTATGAAGACTGTTCGACTTTTTTTGAGTTACGTGAACTGAATGGTGCAATTTGTCAAACATTAACTAGAATGGAATTTGAATTTCTTTCCTGTAATAACAGGAAAGAAAGAAACATCCAAGTTATACAAAATGGTTACTAAATTAAACAAGAAAATACTAACCAAGCTTCATCAATTTTTTTTACAAGATTGATTGACATACGACTGCAATACAGATGTAAAAATATTTTATCGACCTTCGCTGAGAAAAACAATCTGGTTAGTGCTATGTGCAGACTGTGTGTTGAAAGGCCCCTGTCATAAAAAAAAATCAATAAAGACCACCAAAAAGGGAGATACAGGTACAAAGGCTTCACAGTTCTTTACAGGAGAGAGGAATGCCTAAAGAAAGTGGGTTCAGTACAGTCAGACTAGACCTGGATGATTATATAAGCAGTGCATTTGTGAGTTTGATGGATGGTGCATGATTAAAATTCTTCTAAAGTACAGTTTGGCACTTTGTATCCAACCCCATCATCCTATCCTATACAATTCTACCCCCATCATCCATATCCCATCATCCCATATCTACCATGTCTACTTTGACTCCACCCCTAATCCCATCTATCTCCAATCCCACATCCACCTTATCTTTCCATCCATTCCTACTCCACCCCTCCATCATTCTATCCATCGCTAACTCCACTCCTTCCCATCATCCAATCCATCTCCTTCTCCATCCCCTCCCCATCATCCCATTCACTTCTTACTCTGGCTGTCCTATCATCCCACTAATCCAGCCCAACCGTTACGCCAACCTTATCCAGCATTTCATCCACTTTCTACCTTGTCCCCATGATTCTCCTCCTACAGGTACCTCTCCCCCAACAAACATCCTAATCTGTCCCACCATCCCTTACATTTTTCCCACATACTGTAGAAGTACGTTTGTACGTGTCTAAACACTGTCTATACATGTACATTACAGGAGTGCTCAGTACATATGTACTGTATGTACTACTGGGTAAGTACACAATACAACTCAAAACATTAATATTCAACTTTTATATTTTTTTCATTAAATTCACAAGTTTTCTAAGCATTAATGCCATATGAGACTATTTAAATACTGATGGAATTCCAAGAGGAAGCAAACAAGGACTCAATGCCACATTTTAAAAACTTTGGGCCTGCAAGGAAAAACTTTAACATTTGAGGATAGCCGACCGTACGGACAGAAGACGGAAATCGGTATTACATAGGCTCACACTTGCTTCGCAGCTACCCAAAAATTCACCAAGCATTTCTGGACAAGTGAAGGCATTTTTGCTTTGATGTAAATCCAGGAAGACATGGTTCAGGTTGCATGTTTTCATGTTCAAATTGTGAACCCCAAATTTGCTCTCTAGGAACATTTCTGTGAAAAAGATTTTGGCTGGATTATTGCCATACACTTACAAAGCAATAAATAGCCAAAGAAAATGAAATCTGCCATAGCAGTGGTTAAAAAAATCTAGAAATTGTCTGTGCACAAATCAGTGCAACATTGAGATTCTGTGCCTTGGATGACATCATAGTTCTGTCATGAATATGCAAACAGAATTAGCATAAAACCAAAAAGCATAAAAAATATGGGTTACAATTGCAAAACAAAAATTTAAAATAAAGTTGACTAAAACCCAAAGATGCGATTTCAAGGGTCTTTAGTAATTTTTTTTTAAAATATTTATATTTCCTGGTTCCTTTAAGACCAGCCAAGCTCATGTTTATTCCCGTTCCTAAATACCTCAGGAAGTCAAAACAGGTTAAAAATTTCCTACAATTTTGCGCAACAATAAATTGTATCAGTAAATGATCAAATTATTTATAAGCAGCAAATTTGGCATGGATCGTCCCCCTGTTCATTTTAGGTATTGTGCAGAGAGGATAGCATTACTGTAGATTCCTGCTAACCTGTGTTTGCAAATTCAAAACCTGAACCTGTACAAGTACAGGTTCAGGTTTTCTACACAAAAACCCATAGAAAATGTTTGTGACAAAATGGGATCCTCTTTTCAAGGAAACAGCCAATCAAGAGCCACAAAATTTTGACCAATGTTGAAGAAGGCTTAGAGGGGGAAACCATCCAGAGATTTTGTTCTGGGATACTTGGCAAGGCCTAGCCAAGGGCCTGTTAGAAGTTGGGTTAGTTCTTTTCATTACAGAGTTTGAAACTTTGGGCGGGAGGAAAAGTTGCCAGGCTGTCACTTTTGTCTCAGCCTCTGAAGGAACAACTACAATCTGATTCTTCTGCAATTTTTTCTTCCCCACTTGGGAGATTGGTGAACTGTCCCATACACTAGACTGAGATAAACTGTGTTTCAGCTCACATGAAGCTTGGTGCAGGAGTCCAAGTTCTGTTTTTTTTGCAAGGATCTTCAAACCCTGGACTGGACAGTACTGCTTGCATAGAAGGAATTAACATTTTCTGCAAGGATCCTCAGGCCCAGACTTATGTGGGCTATTTTGCCCAACTATCTCCCGGTAATCCAAGTTAGGATTCCTGGTTAGACTTTCATCTTCCCCTTTGGAAAGGAAGGATGGGGCATTAGTCTTTGGTTACTTCCAACCCATAGGAAGTACTTCCTATATGCTGAATTTGTGGCCATCCCGGATGATCGGACAAAACAAAAGGTACCACCACCGTCATGCTTTGTAGGCATGGACAAGGGTTGAAAATGCACCACCTGCCCAACAAGTCCAGCTTGACCAAGGCCTGCACAGTGATAAATCATTTCAAGGTATAGACATAGGACAGAGTTCTAATGTGAGCATAGTCAGCAAAGACAGTGTATTGATATTGTCAGTGGAGACCCCTTTGGGTATCATGTACCACTGGTTACCAAAGAAAACAATTTGGAATGGTAGATTTTAGATATGGCTGTGCTTTTAATAACAAGAGCCTGCAGCAGCCACTGTTGCTTAAGCGGAGGATGAGGAAATTTCACTTGTATAAAATAATTAACGAAAAAGTACAGGAAAAATGAAAAAAAAAAATAAAAGGACTCAAGGACTTAAACACACCCAAAGACTAAGACTTTAAAAGACTCAAACCAAAACCCAAACCCAATACAGTGCGTAAAATGGACCTTATGAGTTTACACTCTGACTTCAATCACTGACTTCTAGCAGAATAGGGCTCAAGCAGAAAAACCACACTCCAGTTAGGAGGAACAATACATAGGTACATGTGAAGGTGACTGGTCTCTGCTGATCTGCTACACTGAGTGTGACCAGACCATATGGCAACTCTATTATAGAGGGGGTAGCTGGGGCTTAAACAAATAAACAGGGGGGCACACTACTAGAAAAAATCAAGAACTCTAAACTAAAGTTAAACATTTTAAAGGGGAACTACTTCTTAGTAAAAACGTGTACTTAATAACATAAACATTTCTGGCTCTGCCACACAATCAATGGCGGCAAGGATGTCACTACCACGCATGCAAATATATTCACAAATGTAGTACTTCTACCCAGGCCATGGGGATGCTGTTGGCAAACTGGGGAAGTTGACAACTGTTGGTTATTCTTTGCGTAAGGGCAATCAAGTTGGTAAGCCCACTGATCAGTCTGGGAAGCACAAGTACAAGCGCAAACTGCTACCAGTATGTCTGCAGAGCATGCAAAGCATTCACCACCGGCTATACCAAGGTTTCCTCCAAGAACTCTGTTTCATTCCCCTAACACCAATTAAGATCTTTGGTTTAATGCTAATAGTTGGCACATTATCCTAATGCAGCTGATGCTGCTTTAATTTGAAGCATGTGTTGAAAAATTAGACAATGAACAGTTTTGAACAAGCTGGTTCTTAATGGGGTAAAGACTGAGGTGATTCTTTTTTACTCTACGTTTCGCAAATGTGATCCTTTTAGTTTACATTTGGGCTTCAATAAAATGGTTCCTGCTAAGAATCTTGGTGTGTATTCAAACAGTCATTGTAATATGGCCACTCATGTCTCCACAATGTGCCAATCAGGATACCTGGATTTGCATTGTATCAGCAAAATCCAAAAAGTGCTGGATGTGCTGGACTGCACCACCACTGAATGACTTATCCACGCCTTATTATTTCCAGGTTGGATTACTAAAACAGCCTTTCTTTATGGCATTCCTGATTATTTAATTCATCACAGGTTACAATTACCTAAAAATTCTGCCACTCGACTTCTTACTCTGTAAAAAGAAATATAAACATATTACACATGTTCTCAAAAGTCTTCACTGGATTCCTGTAGCACAGTGCATTGAATTCAAAACTGTTTTTGTTTATGAAGCTTTCAATGGGCAGGCTCCTGGTTATCTGTCAAATTTACTCACAATACTGATGACAGTGTTCAATGGTCACTTATTCATCCTCTCAAACATGCTTGGTTCAGCCACGATATAACATGGATTACTATGGCAGACGTGACTTCTCGATCCTTTGCAACAGATTCCCATATTAAATCAGAAATGCACCCGTCTTTCGTCATTCAAAACGGCACTAAAAACGTACTGTTTTCGTCAGGGTTTTAATTTATGTTAGTGCTGTTTAAGAATTATTATTTTTATTACAATATAGGGTC